AACTGCTATTGTGAAAATATATCAAGAGTCTTGTATTAAATTTTTACACTTTTCGGCCCAACAGATAAAACTTTATTGATATTTATAGAAAAAAAAACTAAAAAAATTGAAAACTGTAAATGTCTGTAAACAACTCAAAAAGAGTCAAAATATTTTCAAAACTGTATGGTGTATAGGAAATGCTAATATAAACATTCAGTGAAATTTGCATGTATCTACAGTTATTCGTTTTTGAATTACAGCAAAATAAGGAAATCGCTACACGAGAAATCGAGTGAATATCCAATATTGTAAAATTATGAACTTTAAACGCTCATAAAAATTTAATTTGACTTTCCGTTAGAGATTTTTTTATTGATAAAGGTAGACAAACTTATGAGTAATCTTGTATACGAATTCTTAACTTAAAATAATTTGCTATTTTTCGTGATTTTTCCATATTTTGTCAATTTTTGATATTTATTTTAAGAAAATAAGTTTTTATAAAAATTAAATTTGTTAATTGTGCAATAAAGAACAAAAGATTGGCATGGGCTGGGCATGCTTGGCGTAGCCAAAAACCACTCATACGCATAGTATTAGAAGAAAATCCTACTGGAAAAAGACCATGTCTGAGGTGGGAAGACGTAGTTAGAAATTATGTGAAAGCGTTAGGAGGAGGGATAGACTAGAGAATACAGGCAGCGAATAGAGAAAATTGGAGGCAAGGATGTATGTCGGGATGGTCCTAGTGGCCGAACTCACCGAAGAAGAAGAATTATGCAATTTATATTTATATTTAATTAAGACTCACGTGAACGATCTTCTTTTTTACGAACTGCTTCTGCAGCAATAGAAGATGAAGTAGCAGTAGTTACAACTGTAGATATCATTGGAATTGATTCACCAATTTTAGCAATAGCTTTAATTGATACAGGTGTAGAATTTGTTATTACAGCCACTGAAACAGGCTCTTCAATGGATTGATTGTATGACATTGGAGCAAGAGATGCTGGACAAGAACCACTAAGACTTGCAGTTTGCCTAGTGGGTGATCCTAAGTGCAGTTCAATAATACATAAACATGTTATATATGTGTTAGATTATACATTAAGTTTGAAACACAATTTTCTTTTTAAATCTGAGCTTTAAAATTATTATTATTACAATTTAATTACAATTTAAGAAAATAAGTTTTTATAAAAATTAAATTTGATAATTGTTCAATTTATATTTATATTTTATTAATATTTTATTAAGACTTACTACTGTGCATTCTTTTGTGTCTCTCCATTGTCCCTTTATGATTGAATTTTTTTAAACACTAAAATAGTTTTAAAATTAGAAAAATCCACTATCCCACACAACAATAAAATATTGTCAACACGTTTCCATAATATGTTAGAGGAACATATTTTAATGTCTAAAATATTATGAAAAAATGTTTTTTAAGTTGTATATTCGTGATCTGAATATGTTTTGGCGCAAATATCAATATGTTTACAATATGATTCACATATATTTTCATCACATTAATTATTACAGATTTCCAATAAATGATTTTATGATGTTTTTCATAGGGTATAAAATATTTGTAGTCAAATTTTTTGTTGATTCTATGATTGGTTTGAAATGTTAAAACATAATATAATACTCGTATTTCTGTTTAGCTGAATAAATTATGGATATTCTATATCAGTATAGCAGTATTGTATAGAATCTTGAATCTTGATACAATAAGTATAATGAATAATTATTAATTTTTTTGAATACTTTTTTATATACTTTATATATTTATTTATTATAATATTTATAATCTGGCAATAATTAATATGCTATGCCAGAATATATTACATTTAAATATATATATTATATAATGATGGTTATCGTTTATCAATACCTATAATCAATAATAATAAATTCAATATTGTAGGTATATACAACATCATATTATATGAATAAAATAAAATTAAAATTAAAAAGGCATTAATCATTATATATTTAATATAAAACCAAAATATTTAACATAATAAAAAAAAAATTTAACTCGACTCGTAAAAAAATATTAAATACAATGTAATATAATGTATTAAAATGTCGTAAAAATTATAGCTAGTGATATAATACTTTCGAAAAAATAAAATAAAATCAGAAATAACTTTTGTATGTATAATAATAATAAATATTAAATACAATATAATATATAATACCTAATGTATATATATATATATGTGTATATTAATATATATATATAGTAAATATAGTTGAAACAAACATAGTGTATAAAATAAAAAGTTTAAATCTTATTTTATCTCAATTTATGCATGATAAAAATATATCAACATAACAAAAAATAATATAATAAGTAAAAAAATTACATGTATCTTTTTAATGGAATATAATATTATAATAATAAAAAAATCATAAGTAACCTATTGTATGAAAAATGGATAATAGTAACAATAAAATAAATAAATAATTTATAAGTGCTGTACTACATGAATAGAATCATTTTTTGTTTTTGTTTTTATTAAGCGGTTATTAGCTTGTGCTAACCAGGATTTCATTGGGTTGGAGATATCACAATCTGGTACATTCTCAAATTTTTTCACTCTTCTTATAGAATCTAAAATACAAAAAAAAATTAAAATATGTTAACAATTTAAATATTAATATTTTTACCAAAAATTAAAGAACAACTGCGGAGTTTTGAAAAGTTTTTTTTCCCTTTGAAGCCGATAAAAGAAAAATTTGACAAAAAGTTGTCTGTAAACATTCGCTGCATCATAACTCTTATGGTTATAGGTATGTTCCTTGAAATTGCTCTAGACAATATAATTTCCTATAAAATAAAAATAAATATAATATGATGAAACAAATGTTTTTTCCATATTTGTGTATAACATTATTACTCACACATTGCCTCTTCTTAGTTTTATCCTGTAATATATTTTCAAACTCATCTAAATCATCATCATTCTTAAGAGGCCATAAAGAAATTAATGAATCAAACATAATATCATCTGCAAACGCTTCATTACTACTATTTGTACCAATACTTCTATTATACAATTTAAAACTTTTGAGATTTTCCTCAATAAAATCAATTTTTTCTTTTAAGCAATCAATTTTATAAGTATGACTTTTTATTTCATACTTTATTTCTGCTAAGCACGAAGAAACATGTTTTTCAAAAGGCACATACTGATTTTTTTCTGTAAAAATAATGAATAATATTAAATAATTATAGCCTAACCTTATATTATATACAATGATTTAAAAAGCGAAGCATGGTACCAATATACCCATTAAAACCCTATAGAAAACTTTATCCAAATTTTAAATGTATATCACTAATGGAAGCAGTCAGTTTACTTAAAAATAGCCAAGTATATGAACAATTTGCAATTGAATCCATACAATTCAAAATACTCAAAATAATATTCTAAATAATTTTGATACTAAAATCAGTAATTATTTTAATTTATATGCAGAAACACAACAAAAACAATGATCACTATATTATTATAATGTTTAGTATACCTAATGGCTAATTGTGTTAATTGTTTGATATTCTTACTTTTCAAAGATTTTTTATCAGAAGAATATAACAATTTATTCAGACTTCTGTTTACATTTGAACCGCTTTTTGAATAATATGATGAACTCTTTTGTAAAACATGACTTGTTGATAGATTATTGTTACTCGTCGGTGTTGTGTCTAAAACATGCATATTTATAACGTTAATTTATTTAAAAACAATACAAAAGTATATCCATTATAATAGTTACCAAGATTATTTGAAGATTTTTTCTCAAAATTAATATTCTTATCATCATCAGGGAAAAGACTTCTTTTCACATTTGAACCGTTCTTTGAATAATATGATGAACTACTTTGTAAGACATGACTTGCAGATAGATTATTGTTACTCATCGGTGTTGTGTCTAAAATATGCATGTTTATTAAGTTAATTTATTTAAAAACAATACAAAAAGGTATATCCATTATAATAGTTACCAAGATTCTTTGAAGATTTTTTATCAAAATTAATATTATTATCATCATCAGGGAAGAGACTCCTTTTCATATTTGAACCGTTTTTTGAATATGATGAACTTCTTTGTAAAACATTATTTACATTTGAATAGGAATTCTTTTCTTTTTTTGGTTGGACATGTAAATTGTTTGTAGTGTATTTTTCTTTGTTAACTGGAAAAAAATTATTTTTATTACTATAGATAAAATAATTTATATTATGTTATACATTAATTATAGCTTAAAATACACAAATACATAATTTAATATGATATAGTCATACAAAACACAGGTGGTGGGCTCTTCAACCCTCTATTTCTTGAATTTTTTACTATTTCAGGTGAACTGCTATTACTGCAAGCTCTTTTATTTGCTCTAATTTGACGAGTATGACGTTCATCGTCTGCAGTGGATAAATCGGATTTGAATTCAGCCGTAGATAGCTTACTTTTTGCTTCTTCATATGAAGCTAAAATTACAAAATATTAATATATTTGAAATGTAATTAATAATGTATATTTTTGAATTATTATTACCAAATTTATGACCAAGTTGTCGTGCGGGATAAAAGTTAAAATCAAATTTGTTGGGAATAGTTCTTTGAGTTACAAATTTTTTAATATTTGATGATTTGATAGGCCAGGCACTTTCATTATTTTTGAACCATGTACTTGGTACTACTTCGACAGAATCTTCTTTATAGAAATGTGCAATTATGTACATGATGATACTCTTATTACAATATATGGTATTAATATTTGTATTATTATTAATATTATATTATAATCTGCAAACAATAAATACAAAAAACGGAATAATTTAACAAATAATGAGCATAATATTATTAGGTATATAAAAAAAAATCATAAAACTAAATTACCTATTAACTAACTATATTTACATTTGTATTAGGTATAGGTACATTATTGTATATACAGCTTAAATTATATTTATTATTTATTATGCAGTTTCATTAGGTATATTATAATACAGTTTTATAGATTTCAGAATGTAAGATAGGTAATGCCACATATCTATCTTTAAAAGGCAGTATCATAATTTTTTTACTTATTTTATCAACATTCCATAGCTGAAAGTAAGTTGATATATTATCAACCAAATAAATATCTAAAATAGTTGAATCCATAGGTTTTATATATGCCGGTGACTTGTTCATAAAATGTTTTCCTAGGATAAATGTTCCTTTTTCCCCATTTACACATGTTTCCATAATATTAAAGCATTTTACAATATGATTACAGTTTGTTAAAATAAATTGATCTCTTTTGCAATTAATATTAATTTTAAAATTATTAAAAATTAGACATGAATATTGATATCCAGTAATAGTTGCAAAATCTGGCAGTGGACCATTTTTATGAATTTTTTTTAAAGTATAACTTTTACAAGTTTTTAGAGCATTAGAGGAGTGATGAATTTTAGTATATTTTTGTTCGCTATAACGGTTAATTAACTGTTGCAATGGTTTTTCATGCTTCCTCAACATTGACTTAATTTCTTTCATATAGTTCTCAAATGGGTAGCAACTACATTTATCCAATGGTCCATAACGCTCATAATCAGATGTTATGTGTAATAGACTATGAACATTGTGTGACACGTTATGAGTCCCATAAATATTTTGAAATGTTTCCACAAAGTACTCCAAAAGTGTTTGAGCATAAGAGGATAAATTTTGATGATCTGGACTCAAAAGAATGACCATGGCCACATTTAAACACATGAAATTACTATAACAATCATCAGTTATAATATCTTTGAGTACAAATGGTCCAATATAAATTAGAAATAATCGAAATTCTGTAGACTTCCATCGAAGAATATCTTGAACTTCTCTAGGTTTTCTACAAAATTCTGAAGTAACAAACGGTCTCAGTTTTAGTAATAATTCAGTTAACTCAGATATTTTTTTCCCAGAAAGTCGAACATTTGAAGGCCCTTTGAGAACCCAAAAAGACAATAGCTTACGCATTACCCCTAAATTTGTGAGGTGCATATAATCTAAAATAAAAGATTTTGTAATATCAAAATTAGGTAAATTGGTAATTATTGAAGGATTTGGTGAATTATGATATTCTTCATTTTTGCAATTTCGATAGTCTTCATCAGTTCTTGGAGCAGAATATATATTTGAATATGGGAAACAAACACGATTATTTATGTATTCCCCTTCAATAATGCATCGTGAACATGAATTAAAACCAGAGTGATATTTTGTCTTCAACACAAAACAGCGAGCAGGGACATCACAACAAATTACTTTAATAGAAACAAACATTTTTAAGTTGTTAATAATAATTCCATTATCAGATAATTCACGTGCTTCCATAACAAAATCATATATAAAATCATCACTGTCTTTAGGTTTGGAATTTCCATGATAAATACCTACAGGAAAAACTGTTTGTTTTGAGTTGTCAGTGTTCATAATAAATGCCAAAATAGGCCACAGTTGGCTATTACTAGACTTTGTTAATGGCAATCCATCAATGCCTATTGCGATTTGAATAACCGAATCATTTACCAAACTGTCTTGTAAACACTGAACTATACCATTAGCCAAACCAAAGTGATGATATATTCCAGGGTCGACATTAGGAATATATTTTAAATTTGGTGACTGGGGTGTAGCTAATAAAGTTCGGCTGTCTTTAGGTAATTTAGAAAAACATTTATGTTTTTTTAAAATTGATAACAGTTGATTCATACTGTTAAATGGTATTTTACAACTAACTGCCCAGTCTGCAAGCATTTCATTAATATTAGGCTCTGTTTCTACAGAAAGTAATTGATCATCTTCATCACTGCAGTCTATACCTTGAAATGGGTTGTTTGATTCAGTGTCAATAACTAAAGTAGGTGATTTAACATCAAAAAAAATACTAGTGGAGTCATAAGCAGCATTTATAGTATTAGTAGCAACATCATCTTCACAATTCAATGAAATTGAATCATTTTGATGCATATCATTTATTTGTGATTCTTGCGGGTTATTATAATCAATTCTATCTAATTCAGCTTTAATTCTTCTTAATTTTGTTCTATTGCTTTTAATCATTTTAATAATATGTTATAGTTTATGCTATAAAAATAATAATTATAAAATTATAATACCTATACAGTTAGGCTATACATTTTACAAGTACCTATGATTTAAACTGCCTAATTAGTATAAATAATAATTTTTAAGTTAAAGGTACACTGCGGAATATAAAACTGGTTTTATTGTAATGAAAAATTGAAAACACATAATATGCCTGTATTATTATTATAGATCATAAAAATAATTGTACCTATAAACTTGCAAGCACTATTTTTAAGTATGATTAAAAAAATATCAGCTAATATCATTATATCATTAGCTATTTTAACAATAATACCCTCGATAATAGTATACCTTTCGGCTAAAGGCATATTTTAGATATCAAATTCTTTATAGTCAGATAATTATAATTTAAAATTTAAATTACAGAAATGTAATCTAGGTTATTATAGTTAAACAGGATATAATTATGTATTTAAATTTTAACTTGGCACAGGCCTATTTGAATTTTAAACAAATATTTTCTAATAAAAATTGATTAAAATGAGGCAAAACCTAATATACGTAATTATTAAATTTAAAAAAGAGAAAAACATCAGTAATAAAAAAAATCAAAAGCCACTTTCCTAAATAATAGCGACAATAGTTACAAAATAACTTGGTACATAAATGCAGTGCTTAAATTGAGAGGGATGCGGGGGTCAGAGTCCCTTTTCATTGTTTTTCAATTCAAGCATTGTCTATATGTACCTTATTCATAGTAGGTACCTAATAGATTATACTATAAATATGAAATAACCTTTAAAAAAAATAATTCAATAATTTTGTTTTAATATAATATACTATGCTAATAATTTGTAATATCTATATTGATTGTGTTTAATGTTTACGGTTTATTGCAGAATATTGAATTGTTTTTCAATATTTATTAAGTTGTATGATATAGGCATATAGCTGATTTGGTTCTTAAATTAATATTTAAAGCCCTTTTTATGAATAAGACGTTAAAACTGCATACAAAATAATAATGTACCTAGTATAATTATCAAGATAGTTGTACTACACCCAAATAATGTATACCTACTCTGTTCACTACGGTTCACGAGGTAAGGATTCCGGCACTATTAGTCTATAATAAAGGGGAATGAGAATAAGACAAAGTGGAGTTGTTGGATCTTCGCAACAATGTGACATGCGATTTAGTCGATTGTACCTTCGTCCTTCACACGTGACTCGTAAGCTTACAAAGTATATTATAATAATATATATTGCATAAATAAAACAAAAGTATATACTTACGATTTTACTCGCCAATCAACCACTCAATGCTCAATTTTTTTTAAAATATAAATCGCGTTAATCTTCCGTAAAATTTCGCCGTATTGCCGTAATCGCAATTCTTAATGTATATTGTATATTGTATTTGTGCTTTGAAGTTTGAGGTTTAATGGTAACAAGTATAGAGTATAGACATTAGACAAAGAAAATAAGCGCGAACGTGAACGAGTCGTGAAAAAACACAATACGAATTTTAATCAACATTTGTCATTTACGTCTATATTCAACACTTCAACGGTCAAAAAACAGCTAGGAAAATATCAGTGTGACCAATACGAGATATAATACACGTTTAAAATATGACAGCCTGCTTATTGCAGCGTATAGATTTTCGATCGCTATTGGCGATTGAGGTAGCGATAAGCTGAAGCTGATACGGGGACGCTGTGTAATTAAAATATGTCAGGGGTATGAAACTCCTGGGTTATAAGCCTTGTGAAACTCTGTGAATTAGGCGAATCGGGTGGTTATATACTTATATAATATTATTATATTATTATAATAATATGTAGATGTATTATGATTTATGTTATATGTTTATTGTAACCACAAATAATTTTCCAATTAAATCCCGCGTGATAAGGTTGCATGGCATATCCATTCATAGATATTAAACTATTAAAGAATGGATAGGCTATTTGTGCATTGTGCATATCATACGGGAATGAACATGAAAACAATTTGATGATATAGCTGAGGTCAAGGTGGATATATAGAGGTGTAAACACTCTGATTATAAATTGATTGAAAAATGTACACCATTTGTGATTGCCACCGGGAGCGCTGACTACCCGATGAAGGCTCATAATGTTCGTACTTCTATACGAAAATACTATTTACAATGCTGAATGCTTGCAAGTTGTAATGCCATAAAAAATAAAAATATAAGATATCAATTTAATCTAAAGAATGAATAACTTAGATTGATTTTTATTAAACAATTTTGAAACATAAATCTATCTTCAATTATACAATTATTGATAATTATCCACATTTTTTTTGGGAATATTGATTTGTGGAGTAGATGTAGACATGTTGCCTACCTATTTGTGTTATAATTAAAAATTTAAATTTATGAATTTATTGTAATGATTGTCATATTGAAATATATTGATTAAAGTACCTACCTAATTGTAAATTTGTTATTTCCTTGTAACTATTTACTTGTACCTATTTACATCATATTATCCTAGTGTACTCTTTTGGCTTTTGCAATATTGTTATTCATTTAAATATCTACACAACCTACTCTTTTTGTACAAAGGTGGTTTGAAATTAATTTTTTTTACTTATCGAGTATTGTAGTATGCCTCTTAAGTGTTTTGTGTCTGGGTGTAACTCTGGGTTACCCAAACAAAATAAAATATATAAACAGCAGGGAATAAAACTGCCTTTGGTATTTCATCCTCCTGAGGTAGATATTTCTTATACTAATTAATACTTATTATATATTTATATTATGTATATGTATATTCAATGAAAAGTTCATATTAGGGTAAATAATTCATTACTTTTTAGAACATGATTGATACATGGAATTTAAAAATTCCACGAGCCGATAGATCATTAACAAAAAAAGATGGAGTATGTGAACTGCTTTTGTTTCTGAAGATATTATTTCTTATAGAATTTTTGAGGATACAGCAGGAAATGAAATAAAACATCAGCTTGATAGAGTTATTTTAAACCAAAATAATAAATAATAGGCTATACCTATTGTATTTTCCCTAATTTACCACCTTATTTCAACAAAAATATTAAAAAACGAAAACCTCCAACAGAAAGGTCAATAATACCAAACAATCGTAAGAAGAATAAACCCAGTGATATAAATGTTAGATATAATAATATTATGAAACAATAACACATTCCTTCATTAATTTAAATAATATTTATTAAATGTCTATACAGCCTATAAATGAAACAATTGTTAATCCTGAATTAGTTACTGATATAACAGAAAATCATATAATTGAACCACTTAGGTATAATGTTCATACTGATGCAAATAATATTAAGCTACCAGGTACAATGTGGGGTTGCACACGGATTACTCAGAAAAAACAGTTTTTACTCAAATCAGTGACTTTGACAATGATAAATGTATTATGTTTATTACCCCCAACGTAGCTAAGGTAAGAGTTTTACAATTAAAAGATTAAATTCGTCACATTCGTTCACAAACATTGTGAGTGGTGGAGAAATGTTGAATTCTCTTGTCAATATTCAACATTCATCAAAAGAAGATAAACCGCATAAATTAAACCTAGAAAAAAAATTTGATGAAATATTAGACAATGGTGATTTTGAAATATTTAATGATCATTTATACTGTGAAGATCAAATTACATCTTATATAGACAAACCTGCTCTAACCTACTTTGTTGGTTATGTTGCTCGAAATGCCAAAAAACATTCATTAGCAAAAACTTGCAATTATTGTTTTAATTATCTTATTTCAACATCAGATGATCATACTAATCTTGAAGTAGAAGTTCAAGAGTTTATACACATGATAATTAGAGGACATTTACTCAGTCCATCAGAATGTCTAATGAATATAATATACTGCTATTATAAAATATGTCATTAATAACAAAAGTATTAGTAGACATATTTTGGAACACGATTAGCGTTATTTAGTGTACTTACTAATTTAATTCATGTTCTATATTTCAATTATATGTATGTTCAGTTCAATATTCTATAGTTATGGATGAAGTAAACATTACCGGGGTCCCTTCCAAAGTTGGCTGTCTGAAACATCAGAATGAATAATTGACCAAATATATTATTAATTTCTATTTGAACACCAGAATGATATTTGCATGTAAATAAATGAAAACAATCAAATATCATACATGAAAAATACTATAAAAAGATTAAAAAAAATATCAAAATTAATATAAATATAAACTATTACTTACCTACTGGTAAATGTTTTCCAATCTGGATATTAAAATATATGAATTAAAAGTACTATAAACACATATTATACATATTAAGTTACACTATTTAAAGTTTAAAATTTTAATTATTAGATCATGAAGTCCACAGTCCTTTTAATTACTAAATATACTAATTAGTAATTAGAATAAAATGCTAAATTGCATAATGCGCCATACCAGGGTTGCCAGATTCTCAAACAGGTATTCTCGTATTGTGGTTATCAAATTCTCGTATTTTCAATGAAATTCTCGTATCACAAAAAAAAAACCGTCATCAATGACTTATATTCGTGGGTCATTAATATTAATGATACAAGGAACTAATTTAATCAGATTGCCAAGAGAAGGCTTAGTGTTTCTAAATTCTAATGACAAAGCATTTTTTGGTTTAAAACTAAATAATTCTGTTAAGACAGGATCAGCCATATTATATCTTTTTTTCATTTCTAAAGAAGATGTTTGTAAGAACTGACGACACCTTAAAAAGAAAAACGTTGTGTAAAATATTTTTCCTATCTTAAAAATAAACCAAATGATTATAGGTACCTTTCAAAAGTCTTTACGTTGGTTATTATTACTTAAAATATCCGGATTGTCCTTATGCATTAATACCTTAGTTCCCAGATACAGTTCATTATCTGTGATTTGATATTGCCCATTCATGGGATTTATATTTATTAGAGGAGTTCTCATAACATTGTCTCTTTTCAAAAAACATAATAAAAGCTCTTTGTAGAGTGAAACAATCTTTTCATGTAAATCAGTAATAACAACAGAATCTGTCTGAAAGAATTGGTTAAATCTAAAAAATATAAATAAAGTGTACTTAACTGTAAACAATTGATAACAAGTAGGTAGCTATACTAATAAATAATATAATAAAATAATACCTTGTAAATTTAGGAAGAGCCCATTGCAAGAAATAATAAAACAACTTCATAAAAGGGTCATTCAAAGCAGCAAGGATATGTTCAGTTGACAGAAGCCGCTGTACTAAAACAGTATCTAAAAAGTATAATCTCAGTGCATCCCATTGTTCTATAACTCTGTCTACTACTGCAGTTAAAGACAGCCATCGAGTTTGTGATGGATGTAATATTTTATGGGGATCCAGATTTAAAAACGTTTGAAACTGAGAGAACTCACATTGGCGTTTTGAAGAACTTTTTAAAAAGTTGAAAATATTTCTGGCCAAATCTTCACATGATCTTGGTAACCGTTTACAGGCTTCACTTGCACAAAGGTGAGCCGAATGGCAAACACACTTCATTATGAAAATGCCTGGGAATTCTATTTTCATTCTTAAAGCCACCGAATTATTCTCACCCATCATGTTATTACAACCATCACTACCAAAACCAATAACATTACATTTCGGTATGCCATATAAAGTTAATGGCCATTAAACTATTAAATAGTTTTTCAGCGGTAGCATTACCCGGGTTTTTTATATAGATCCCAAAATTTACTATCTATCTTCCCAGATTTACTATCAAAAACCTATGAAAATAATCAAAATACAAAATAATTGTAAATACTTAATACTTTTTCAATAAACTGTGTTAAATTTTTAGTATATGTATATGGTTGATAAAAATTACTGAATATCAGACTGAACTGACAAAGTATCTGCCTACCAAATGTTCTGCTGATTATGGTAATTATTTAAGGAAAAAAATGGTTTTATTCAAATATATTTAAGTACAAATATATAAATACTTTTTTTATATAATCTTTAAAACACTGAATATATATTTATATGTAATATAAGTTATAACTTATAAGTAAATTTTACCTGAGAATGACACAAGATGATTTGACGGTACCAATATCAGTAGATTCATCAGTTAATATACTGAACTGTACAGTTTTTAGGTACGAAACAAGTTCTTCTTTCTGACAATAATCAATTACATTTTTCGTAATTGAAGTTGTTTTGGTCCCTTTAAGTGATATATTTTTAGCTATTTCAGAATCTTTAAAACAACTTTTAAGAACATCCGAAATGTGGTCAGTAGCAAGAAAGGCAATATTGTGTTCTGTCAAAAATGCAGTTAATTTTATTTCTGCCATTTTGACGTCAATATCTAATTTCGTTGGAGTTTTATTTGTAGTAAAAGTTTTTATCGATTTTTGTTTTATTTCTGTACATGCTTCAATTTCTTTATGTTTTTTACCATTGCCGTGTGTTTTAATGTTAGATAACTCCGCAACCATTGTGAAATTGCACAACTTACATTTGGCTTTGAAAGGGTCGTTATCAACAGGAACCAACCATTTTTTTAAATTTTCAACTCTGAGCCATTCTGAACGAAACTTCTGCGCCCTGTGTTTCGTTGGATTTTTCATGATTTTTTTAGGTGGTGTTAAATGGATATCTTCCTCATTGTCGTTTAACATATTTGAAAATTTCAAATAATGGAATTGTAGCACTCAAAATTACTCAATAAAGTTCTAACTAGGTACTTTATAATAAATTATAAATTTATAACCACTAAACCACGAGGAATGAATCAATAACAAACTAACAAAGACAATAAATTGGATTATCCGTATTTTCTTGTGCATGTTCGATGTACCTCAAAAACAATATTATTTCATATTAATATCTTCGGTAATTGGTATTTGGTAATAACATAATAATATCTTAATCAATAATAATAACAACATAGAATATATTTTATAAAAAATAGTTATATTTAGATTTTCATGGAATTCTCGTATATTATGTGTACGAGAACAATGTTTCCTCGTACCTCGTACAAATGGTCCAAATTATAGTACAAGTACGAGAATTCTCGTATGTCTGGCAACCCTGCGCCATACAAACTTTAATGTGGTTGAGCCTTCATCGGGTAGTCAGCGCTCCTGGTGGCAGTTACAAGTGGTGTACTTTTTTCGGCCCACTATCATAATGTAAAATATAGCGAGTGTTTACACCTCTATATATCCACCTTGGCTGAGGTCTTAACACAAATAGTCAATAGATATATATAATATAATTATTGTATATAATTTATGATAAGACCTCTGCCAGAATGAGATACAATCATAAAAAACAGTCTTTCTCTCTTCCCCATTCCGGCACATGGGCACACGGCCCACTATTTTATTAATGTAGCCATGGCCTAACCATTCTTTTATTATCTATGCCCGTTACAGTAATACTACCTACTCTAATGGTACAGACCACTCAGCTGCACTTCACCACTCCCGGGAGGCCTCAAAATTGATCGGCATTCGACAATTGCCAATATTATAATATAAAGACGCGCGCGCCGCGCTTGATAAGTTCAATGCCTCACTATCGTTTCTATAATAACGAACAACACTAGCTGCTAGTGGACAATATATTATATTAACCCAATAAATTAATATATATATTATATATTATATATAATATGCAATAACCACTTCACTGCGATATATTATTATGGACGATGTATATTATGTAGTCGTGCTGACTGTTGAATAGTATACCGCTGAAACCCGCGAGTCGTATATTATATTATTATATATATTATAATGAGGTCAATAATATAATTTATATTGCATACTTTGGATAAATAGTACGTTTTGTTCAATTTGAGGAATTGCACGGTACGTTTTACGTCAATTTTTCAAATGAACAAACTACCTACTTATTTAACATGAAAAATACTAAGTTTTGTCATAATTTGGAAGTAGTCACTTTTGTGTCATTCATGAGTTTCATATTGATTTAAAAAAAGGAAATATAGCGTACGTTTCGTCAACATTTTATGACAACATATTCGATTCCCCGCCTTTTTTTCTATAAGAATCAATACCTATACAACTCAATTTTCTCAATTTTGGAAATAGTAAAGTTTTGCCTATTATTATAGTACTTATATTGCAGACGCTTTCATAATGTTTAAAATAATATAAAATCCCTACGTATTGGAAATATGGCGTCTATAATATTTAAAAGAACATTAAAATTAAAAGTGTTTAAGATATTATACATATAATATTTAAAAGAACAATAAAACTAAAGGTGTTTATAATATTATACATATAATATTTAAAAGAACATTAAAACTAAAGGTGTTTAAAATATTATACACACAATATTTAAAAGAACATTCAAATTAAAGGTGTTTAAAATATTAATATATTCCATTTGCTGTGTGGGATGCAATTAATATTTTAATAAAATACTAACAATATCACAGGTAAATATTGTGTTTGTTCCCATATGTATTTTCATGTGTCGATTCAAATTTTTTTGGTTTTTGAATGTTTTTTTGCAGTCATTGCAAACTGCATCTAAATTTTGAGGGGGGGGGGGGTTTAAATAAAATATTATTTGTACACTGATTACTTCCAAGGTGTTTACCCCTCGGCATAAACATAATATACAGAAAATAAGAAATGTAGGTAATATATTGAATTACAAAAAGTATTTAAATTTACCTAAATGCATTTTTTCATGGCTTTGTAACAGTGATTTGCTAATGAATTCTCTTTCGCATCTTTTACATTTAATTTTTTTCCGTTCCGGGTGGACTTTTCTTAAGTGATTAATTAATATGTCTTTTCTGAAGAAATTTTTTTGACAATCCTTAAATCAATTCATTATAAGTTAAAATATTCACAATGTATAAATAAATTATATTTACTTGACAAAAAAACGGTCGTCCCTTTTTTCCATTGCAACCTGTTTGCATTGTGTGACGTTTGACATCAAATTTTTTTGTAAATTGTGTAAAACATCCGGTGCATGAATGTTTTAAATTTCCTAAAAACAATCCATATATTTATAATTAATATAATAAGAATAAAATTAAATATAGTTATTTCTTTTTTCATCGAATCATTGTTCCTTACTAAAATTATGAAGACAAATATTATTAAATATATGTCATATGTTGACTAGAGTATTATACATATTAAGTTACACTATTTAAAGTTTAAAATTTTAATTATTAGATCATGAAGTCCACAGTCCTTTTAATTACTAAATATACTATTTCAAGTATCATAGGTAGTTAATATAATATATTGTACTTTTATATTTTTATATTCACTTTCATTAAAACGGGAATTTTTAGGCAAAATCGATTTTTCAAAACAATGAATTTGGTTTTTGGTGTAACATTAAAACACATGACCGTAGATACATGAAATTTTCACTGGTTGTTTATATTTGCATTTTCTATACACGATAACATTTTCAAAATATTTTGATTTATTTTGAACTGTTTAGGTACATTTTCATTTTCCATTTTTTTTTAGTTTTTTTTCTAAAAATATCAATACAATTTTATTTGTTGAGTCAAAATACTTGAAAATTTAATACAAGACTCCTAGTATATTGTTTGAAAGGCTGATGAAAAATATTAAAAATCCTTAGTCACAGTTTTTTTTTATAAGCATTTAAAGTTCAAAAATTGACAAAATATGGAAAAATCACGAAAAATAGCAAATTATTTTGAGTTAAGAATTTGTAAAAATTTTTCTTTTTAAATCTAAGATTTGAAAATGTAATACAAGATTACTCATAAGTTTGTCTACCTTTATCAATAAAAAAATCTCTAACTTAAAGTCAAATTAAATTGTTATGAGCGTTTAAAGTTCATAATTTTACAATATTGGATATTCACTCGATTTCTCATGTAGCGATTTCCTTATTTAGTTGTAATTCAAAAACGAATAACTGTAGATACATGAAAATTTCACTGAATGTTTATATTAGCATTTCCTATACACCATACAATTTTGAAAATATTTTAACTCTTTTTGAGCTGTTTACGGGCATTTACAGTTTTCAATTTTTTTAGTTTTTTTTTCTATAAATATCAATAAAGTTTTATCTGTTGTGCCAAAAAGTGTAAAAATTTAATACAAGACTCCTGATATATTTTTACAATAGCAGTTGAAAAATATTAAAAATACATATGCACAGTTTTTTTTTATAAGCATTTAAAGATCAAATTTTGACAAAATTTATCAAAATCTCGAAAATTATCAATCATTGTAATTAATAAATTATAAAATGTTCACTTTTTATAGCTAAGGAATGAAAATTTAAAAAAAGATTCCACGTAAGTAGTTTATTCTGTTACCAAAAAATCTTAAAAATACATCTACACAGTTTATTTTTATTGTCATTTAAGTTCAAATTTGGACGAAATTACATAAAATAAACCTAGAATAACTATTTTAGTTATTTTGTTGTGATTGTATAATATTGTTTGAGGGCACTTGAAACTTCTAATTTGTACTACTATATTATATCTATGATAGTATCATGGTCTTTTGTTGATGTATAACGCGTTATAAGCCTGTTAAAAACTACAATACAAACAAAAGGAATAAACAAAACGTACCCTCACACAAAGATAAATCCGAGGATAAATCTAAATCCATTTACAAAAAACCGAGCAAAAAACAAAAGACCAAAGTATTTTTTCAAGATTCAGAAGACTCTGATGTGGAGTTAAAATTATGTGTTAATGGACCAGATAATAATGATGTTGTTTTGTTGGATTCAAAAGAGTTACAAGTTACTAACACCGAAGAAGAATATAAAAAACCGGCATGGAATGACATTAAACCAGGAGTTTATTTATTAGTAAGATTTATGGGATAGGTACAATAAAAAAACCTCGTAGAGAAGAAACAAAATTTCAGTATGTTTGTTGTGTGATTCAAGTAGAAACTGATGAAGATGAAGGTATCATACAAGTTCAAGGCATGGCAAATGAAAAAACAAAAAAACATTTCTCTATGAAAGAAAGTGACACTTCGTGTATTACTATGGACATGGTTTTAACAGTTCTTCCCGAACCCATACTTGTGAAAGACAACAGAAAATTATTATATGTCTTTCCCAAAAACATTGATGTATATGAAAAATAATATTAATTAAGGGGGCTGCAGCTCACGTATTTTTCATACGTTTTAGACCAATAAGCGGTGGTAAATTACACATACTTCGGAATGTCCGATTTAAATTTTTTATACATGTTTGAATTCATTGATAAAATATCTAGGTTTCTTAGGAAGTCGATTTTCAATTTTTAATTTAAAATGACCTTAAAATAACCATTTTTTTTTTAGAAATCCCATGAAATAATTGCATTACATTTGTATTTATTTTGGGCACATCTGATTTTAAATAAAAAAATTGATTCCTAAGAAACATGGTCTAGAAGTTTATAAATTCAACCATTTTTTCAAAATTACAATCGGACTTCAGGAAGTATGTTTAATTTACTACCGCTTTTAGTAGTTTTTATAGAATTGCAAACATGAATATATTTAATTTTTCGAGCTGTATTGACATGTGCGTGCGCGTGTGAGAGTTGTTTCCGGCGCGGTTGCCCGACTCGACGTGACAGCGATTCTCGGAAACAATTAGCAGATAAGAATTA